AGAGACTGTAAAGTTCACAAGAGAATACGGCAGTCAGTGCAGGCGTTTAGAGATAAAAATTATTTGTTCTGAACACACATACTGGCCTTTGATTTTATTTTTCCCCACCATCAAAAGGCTGCTGTATATGGTAGATCTCATGAGAGATTTATATACTGTCCTATCCACAGATTTTTTTTTTTTAAAAAAAAGGCAGAAAAACTTTGAAATGATTAATGTAATAAATGATCATCTAATTTTACCAAGAAGTAACATATTAACATATTTTATGCATGCCACAGCTAGTTTAGTCCTTATTGCCCTCAGGCAGAATTGTAATATCATCAAAAAAAACTGTTTGTCAATATTAAAAGCAATTTACATAGTAAATACTCTCCAGCCTTGTTACATCACCATCTGGGTTAACAGAGCATTTGGATCCATACTGGGAGGTGCTGTCGAAGGCAAACCTTCAAACTGTTTAACTTGTCCAGCTGTCGCTGGGGACGATGACGAGTATGGCATTCCCATCCAGATGGAAGAGGGCAGGTTCAGGAAAAGGGCAACAGGGTGTATTTGGGAAGAAAGTTTCAGGAAAGGAAAAACAGAGAAAAGCAGAATCAATTGAAAAAGAAAGCACCAGGGGAGAAAAAAGGTTCCATAGGGAAAGGTAAAGGCAGAATGAGAGGAGCTGAAAGCCTCAGGGAGAGAAGGGAATGGAGATGGACTGGAGGCAACAAAGCAGGGGAGAGTGAGGCTAAGAAGACCTAGTGAAGGAAAAGGCCAGAAAGATGCCCATAGCAACACATCTGCCCGACATACTCAGGGAATCCCAGAGGATAATAATGGTTGCTCACAAATTCACATCTACCAAAGCTTGTCTCACTGTGAAACTAAGCAGTTATTCTTAGATTTTGTATACAATAATTTTACAAACAATAAATTTTTTGTTTTCATTTCACTCCCTAAATTGATAGAATTGCAAAAGAAAAAAGTCCTTTTTTTCCTTTTTTTTTTTTTCCAAAAGTCAACTGAAATTTTCTGAGCTCTTGCTATATGGTCCACATTGAAGGAATTGAACTTTGAGTTGTGCACTGCTTTAGCACACTGTGAGGAGAGAGAAAGGGTTGTCCTCTGGTTAAATGAACTGCCAAGCCCCATCTTAAGAAGGACAGGAACTGACAGCATATTTTCACCACAGTTTGAAGCTGCTAGCCCAATAGCGCTTTTCAGCTTGTTGGAGTGGGCATATTTTTCCTGTAGAATCCAAATGTTTTTCTGAAATATATCTCAAATGGACCAAGATCAACAAATCAACCTTAGCATGGAGAAGGAGATACTGAAGTGGCAGAGAGACAAATTTGCCTGTTGTTTTCAGATCAGTTGAAGAAGGGTGCCTTTTTGTAACAGTAGCTATTTAAATTAACAATATCACTGAGAAGTTACAGGGCAATCTCTCCCTGGAAGTTTTACAGAGGAGAAATAAGTATAACTCTGTATTTTCCAAATTTTAGCATCCTCTATTGTGTCTTGCTTAGGTTAAGGTTTAGCACATGCTTTCCAGCCTCAGTAGATTTCTGCCAGATACTGGGAAATGGAAATGGTACTCGCTGTGCTTGGGAAAATGTACAAAAATCTACGGTATTGAGCATTGTCTGTGCCTATTCAGTATAAATAGCTACCCTATCTAGTAAGCAGGACAAAAGTAATCTGTACAGATACTGGCAAATTAATTCTCATCAAAACCTTTGGTTAAGCTTGAGGAAGCAGCCAGAGCCTGCACATTCAGTCTCTCTGGTGCTTTTAGGAGGGAATACAAGGTTTGGTGAGCACGAAAACAAAGGATCGGATTGGAACAAGCATCGCTTAACTCATCTGACTAAGGAAAAGGAAATGTCATTAACTGCCATAATAGGAGTTGTCTGTTTATTGAACTTGCCTGGACCTTAACTGAAATAGTGATATTGGGCAATGACTGTATTTGCTACATTTCAGATTAACTTGCTCAAGAAATGCAGCTTAGTACTGAGCCGTAACCTGAAAGGTTGCTGTGTTGAATGCCATTTCTGTAGATGAGCTATCAAACTTGTTTTAGCAGAAGAGTTGAAGTGTCATCTTCAGCACGTGTTACTGATAGGTCCGCGTGTCCTGTGCTCTGCTTTACTGCCCAGAGAATGTCACAGCTGGCAGGTCTCACTGCTCGTGGCTTTTCTGGCACAGCAGAAGGCTTCAGTCTGGGGGGAAGGTGGGAGTGCTTTTGTTATCTTTCATCTTTCTTGCAGTTCTTCAGAGAGTGCTCACATCCTTGTCCAAAAGAAACACTGGTCAAACTAGGGGACAATGTTTGGTCCTTTTTGCCAACTTTCAGTCCAACAACATGCTCCAGGGTGTGGTTGCTTGGATATATTTGGGCCAAGGGATTGGAGGTGAAAAGGCCACAGTGATGAGAATAGATTTAGCACCTGTCAGGTCAGAGGTATCTTCTGTGTGGATGCTGAAATCTCCCAGGACAGTGAGCCTTGTGAACTTCATCTTTGTGTCAGGCAACATCTCTGTCATTTCTCTAGAAGCTCTTGTGTCTAGAGGCCTCTGGTTTAGCAGTATGTGCCAGTTGTTCTTGTCTTTGTCCTTTTTGATTAAATGTAGGCTCTCCAATGATATTACTTCAGCAGAGATAATCTTAAACTTTAGCTTGCATGTGCCAGCTATTTTCTGAAGACAGGAGATTATGTGTTTAGTTGTGACAAACGTTGTGATTGTTGCATTTTTGTGATAATGCATCTTTCACTTTCCCTCTCCCTTCACTTAATATAGAGGCAATAAAGACTACAGAAATGCATGTCAACATTAGCCTTGATTCATTAATTCTGGCCAGTGCTAACAGAAGTTAGCAGCAGCAGAAAAAATCAGCAGCGGAGAAGACAAAGGTATTTCATGGTGCAGGCTGCCCAGAGAGGTTGTGGAGTCTCCTTCTCTGGAGGTCTTCAAAACCCACTTGGATGCAATCTTGTGTCATGTGCTTTAGGTGACCTTGCATGTGCAGGGGAGTTGGACTAGATGATCTCTAAAGGTCCCTTCCAACCTTTATGATTCTATGATTTCTAATTCACAAGTAATTAAATTCTGCAAATAGTCTTGGTTCAAGAACTGATTTATTGGTTTTTAAAGAGTACAAATTGCAAAGATAAACTAAAGACAATTTGCCTACATTTTTGTGGTCAATTTTTCACTGTTTCCTTCTGTCTCTTCTTCCTTCTCTGCCGTTCACGTCTGTGTATATAGGAATAAATCTATATAGAGGGGTGCTGGCATTAGAAATGTCAGTTGGCCAATGTCAGTTGATTTGTGCATCAAAGACAAAGCCTATTTGCTTGTTTATTTTCTGATGCTGAAGCAGTTTTACATGTGGCTGGTTTTGGAGCAAGCATCCAAAGGGGATGGCCAGGATCCAGGCAGCGGCCACCAGTCACTCTGGGGGAGATGTTGACAAGTGGCCCAGACTTTGCAGTGTATTCAAAAGAGGGGGGAGAGTGTTCATTAAACAGAAGCTTAATCAAGCAGGGCAGGAGTATGGTTTACATGAGAAAAGATATATTCTTTACTTAACATTCACAACTTGCTTATGGATTAATTAGCCCATCTGCTACAACAAATGTATTCCCATGTCTTTGTGTTGACTGTTTAAAGTGACTGATTCCTCTATCCACTTAAAATAGCACCCTAGATTCCACTGAAAGTAACCTTTCTGAGGCAAGGAATTTATTTAATCATCCACTAAGAATTTGTAAGTGGCTTGTTGTAAATAAGTGCTCAACTGTCTATAGCTCCCAGGGTAACTATATATGAATGTTAAGATGGGAGATAATAGAGGAGGCAGAAAAACCTTAAAGAAGCTAAGTGTAGAGAGCTTCTGAATCCATCTGTACTATTAGCCTTAGGTTTTAAAATACATTCTCTGCTACCAACCCCAAGTGGGCAGGACAGCTGCCAGCATACAGTAATTCAGCTATAGATTTTCTTCCGAGAAAGGCAACATTCGTAAATTAGGTGACCTTTTTGCAGACTGACAGTGTGTTGATGAACTTCAAGTGACAATTAAAACATGCATTGAGTGTCCTAAGTGTTGAGTTTTATAAGAAACCAATATAAAGGATGGAATGTTTTTAAAGTCTTTAAATTAGATGTGCATTTAAGTGAAAATAGATATCAGCCATATGTTGCCAGGATAAATGGAAATGGGTATCCTTTGTGATATTTTCACACTCATGTGATTTTTAAAATATTATTATCCTTTGAAATAGAATTTGAAATAGAATACATGACATTATTATGAATGTATGTATATTCCTTCTAAATAAGTGATTAATATTGACAGATGTGAATAAAAAGAGCTTCTGGTTTTCAAAAAAAAATCTAATACTTTGTTTTGTAGGCTGCAGTATTATCCCTACATCTTTTGGCTTTGATGCAAATCTGATGCAAATTTGTGATAAAATGGTCATCTTTTGCCAACTATTACCACCTGATTCAGCTGTAATACTGAAGGACTGTGTGTTTTGTATGTTACTAAGAAAAACAAAATCTGAAAAAATGCAGTGTGCTGCTTATTCCCAAGCATTTTTCTTTAGTGCTTCTTTAGAAGAAGCATTTCTCTTGTTAGTATCTTTTTATAAGTATTAAAAGCATTTCAGAAGAAAGAAAATCATTTTTTCTCTAGATATGTTCCTGGGACCTTAGGAATGAGAGTTATTCAGGCCTGTAAAACACTCTTGATGATATGAAAACTGCAGAAACTGAAAACTGTGGAAAACTTTTCCCCTGATAAGCTCTAATTTTGAAGCAAGTAGAAATGAAGGAATGACTAGAATACTCAAGCTTTAAGCTATACCTCCAGTTGTCTCATGGCACATGGTTTTACATACTACACAAACAATTCATCTCCTATATTTTACACACATATTTTTTATGCTGCCTTTTCTTCTGATAGTAATTGTTAGTATATTTTTTCTGCTTTTCCTTAGGTCAACGGGAAGGATCTCTCCAAGGCCACTCACGAAGAGGCTGTGGAAGCTTTCCGTAATGCTAAGGAGCCAATTGTAGTTCAGGTTTTACGACGAGCCCCCGTCAGCAAAGCTCATGGTAGCGCTCAGGATGTTCAGCTTGTGGATGCTAGCACTCAGACTGACATCACGTTCGAGCACATTATGGCCCTGGCAAAATTAAGGCCTTCCACACCTCCAGTACCTGATATCTGCCCATTTCTACTTTCAGACAGGTATGGTTTGTCTTTTTCTGTTTTGCTGTGTAACCAAGGCATTGCAGTGGTAGACTTACAGACTTTTCTTGAGAAGGTCTCAGGAACACTTTAAATAAATTATAAATATCATTGATAAACACTATGCCATTCAGGTGTCAGTGGAGTTTTGTCCGTCAGCTGACATTATATCATCTGAAACTGAATTGAATATAATTATCAGCATGGAGTCTTTTATAAAAATAGGTACTAGTCGTCTCCTTTTCTGGACTCCATTGCATAAGTAACCACATCTGTAGATTAACCCTTGCCCTCCACTTGTAGCACTCCTACTGTAGCTTCCCTTGCCCTAGAGCTCTCCCACTGATTTCCCTGCATGCTGCAAATCTGCAAGATTGATGCTGGTCACGTATGAACTGCTTTTCACCTAGATGTAGCTCAGTTTTTAGAAGTTCTAGGTAAGCTGTGTGTATAATCATTTCAGAGCTAGGGAGCATGGCCAAATTCTGTGTAGAGCCTAGCACTTATTATTGTGAATCTTAAAGCATGATATATATATATATATATATATATGTAAAGTTTTATTGGATAATCCTAAACAACAACATGGGAAATGCCCATGCCCTCAATATGAGGAAGAGTACCACCTCTGCTTGAGGTGAAGCAAACTAGGTGTTGCATGTTTGGTGTACAGGTAATGTGAGCATCTAAGATCAGCCTTTTGCCTACTACTGTACCTAAGTGTGTATTTTAAATATCTCGATCTTTGTGCCCGAAAACCATGCAACCATGCAGTTTACTGATATTTTAAAATGTACAAACCCTCAAATGCATTTTGCCACCTGGTTGTAACTTTAATAGGAAAGAATAGTGCTAGTTGCTTTGTGTGAGTTCATGAATAATTTGTGAGTCTGGTGATTTTGTATTAAGGAAGTTGAAGTGTTAATAACAAGATAACTGGTGAGTTGTCCCAGGCTGTGATACAGCCCATGAATTGGGAGTTTTACGTGTTTATGAGCATAAGGAATCCCAAAATGTCCCAATGAAGTAATTTAGCCCAGAACAGACCCTTTTGACAAATTGCAGTTAGTAAAATATGACAAAAAGTGAATCCAGCATAATGAACTAAGCAGGAACCTGATCTTTTGAAAAGAAAATAGCTCTTGTTTTTTGCTTTTGATATTTCTTTTAGACTATCAGACCATTCATAGTAGTGTTCCAGAGATGAGAAAACTACAGAAAAGGGTTTTTTTTTGTCATTTTTAATTTTAAAAAAACTATTGTCTCATCTACTTTTGTTGTACTGCTTTGTTCCCCATAGCTGCCATTCTCTTCACCCAGTGGAGCATGAATTTTATGAAGGTAATGAATATCTTTCCAGCCTGCCTGCTGATGCAGATAGAGCAGAGGACTTTGAGTATGAGGTAAGATCATTGGCACACTGGAACCTTTCTTTTTGTGTTTGCATATATGATATTTGCACAGCTGATAGCAGGCTGTTCTGAGAAAAATAATAGTGGGAACACCTTTTTTTTAAAAAAAAAGCACCAAAGACTTTTATTTTATTTTATTTTATTTTATTTTATTTTATTTTATTTTATTTTATTTTATTCCTGTCCAGTGTCACAGGTTTTACTGGCATTACATTTTACATATAAGTTCAGGAAGGTTATTACACATATACTATCTTTGTGTGGTGGGGACTGAGGATCAGCTGCTTTGTTTTTGCTGTTTTATTACTTCCAAAATTAAAAAAGGGTAACTGGAAGCTTAATTGCTTTTTTTTGTTTCATGTTGTAAGAATTAATTGACCTTTTTTTCTCATGCCTTAGGGATGAGTCTTGCAGATATTTGGGTGTGTGTTATTTGTAAGATCAAACTACAACTTTGAGAATTAATATGATTTCTACTACTTGCTCTGTGATATTTGACATTGTAAGTAAATGTTGCAGTTATAAGAAATAGTGCTATATGGCACAAATCTCTCTCTGCTGTTCATCTATTGCACTCTCTAGCAACAAGGGTGGATATCTATCTCCCTGAATCACTGGAAAATCACTGTGTAGCTTCCCAAAATGATAACACGTGATTGGCAATGCTGTTTTTTATCAGATTTTTATTTCAAGATCTAATAGTGTGTCTTCCAATAACAAAATATTTCTAGGAACAAACACAAGAAGCAGATGGTCCCTTTTTGTTATTAAACAGTGCAGAGTCTTTACAAAACTTCAAGTCACTGTATTTTAAATGAGTGATTATAAATAATTAAATATCTTTTTATACAAGATTTAAAATATTTTATTCTCCTGTTTGCTCTACCTTAATAGTATGTAAAGAAACCTTTTAAAAGGTTTCACATAACTGCTTGACATTTGGAAATGAAGCGAATGGGAATAGCTTTGGCAAATACTCAGTGTGTTCATTTTTATCTTGTCTTTAGCAGATAGGCTGCTCTATTGCAAGTTTAGCCCATTGTTCTTCTCTTCTGGCAGTCTAGGGAATTTAAAGTTCTTCCCCCAGGAAGCAGAAAAATCAAATAAAGTCTACTTAGTGAATCTCAATCAGAACAAGCAAACTTTTATTTGAACTCTTCAAAAAATCATTTCTAGGGATTAGTGAAATCATTATTCCTTCCCAGACGGGTTTTGGTGGGATATATAATAGCACAAGAGTCTCAGAGCTTAGGTTTCATTTTGACTCCACATGCTTAATACAATTTTTAACTTCTCTGTCAAGTTTTTGTTTACAGTTCTTCTTTCCTGTATGTAACAGAAACTACTTTTTTTCTAGTAATATTCAGAAAAATCAGTAATGTAATCATCTGGAAAAAAAAAGGAAATCTAAACAAATGCCATTATATTTTACCGTCTAATCAGAATATTAGTGAGATATTAAAATACTAACAGACACCAAATTTATATAGTGTCTACAACAGTGGAATCATGTCCTTTTTATGAGCATTATTAATCCCTAATAATAGGTGGCATAAGTATTGTGACAGTGGTAAATGCTCAGGCAAGTTCTCCATTGCCTGTAATCGCTTCTAATCACACCATCATAGTCATTAATTTGCTGTCAGATGTGATTCGGTTGCCCAAGGCAAACTCACCGAGTGGCTGAGATAAAGCATGTTTCATGCGAAATTTAAATAGAAAATGAACTATCTAGCTTTGTTTGAGGAGAGGATGTATTCTCCTAAATATGGGAGTTTCAAAGGAGAAATAACAGCATCTTGGACCCTTTAAATAAAGTTCTAGACATGAAATGCAACCCCAAAATGTCAGCCTGTGTGATAATCTTATGTCTTAGATTACTCATTATTTGGCACTATTGTCTATCATTTAAGGATCTGTTTAGATATTAAGCTTGCTTGTTGTAACCAGGTAGCTGACACAGTCGAGAGCACGATCCCCAGAGACACGGATCTCCCTCCAAAATAGGGTCTCGTATAGGACAGGGTGAAGAGGGATTTGCTAGTTGTTGTTGTGGACCTGCAGGAGAAGCGGCAGAAGGGGAGAACACAGATTGTAGTTCAGTGCTGTCAGAATCCTTACAGTGTACTGTCCAGCAGCAACTACTTGATCTCTTCCTTCCTCTGGTAGTTTTTGGTCCCACAAATATACCAACATTGGCGTTTGTGAACCAGATAGATAGAAGAATTCATGACTCCACAAGCTGTTGCCTTCTCAAAATTGAGGGAGTGATGCCCTGCAACTCAGAAAAGAAAGAAACAAGTGGTCAAGGGCTTGGAAAGACAAAAACCAGTCAGTAATCAGTATTAAAATTAAAATCAGTAATGTCTATCTACTACTTAAGAGTGAAAGCAGCAAGAACAGATGATGCAGAAACTCTGCTGGTGCACTTCTGAGGGGAAAGCCATGGGTTGCATATTGGATGAAAAAAGATTACAACTATGATTCTTCTCTGTCTCATACCATTTAATTTTCCATATTTAGGAGAATAGAAACTTATTATTATTATTATTATTACTATTATTATGCTGTGTGAAGAAGCAGGATTGTATCAATGCTCCCTGAACTTAAAATTGTTTTCTTCTTTGTAGCAACTTTCTGGTCTGAACATTCACTATTTGTATGCATCAAAAGAACTATATGGTATCAGGATTGTGGTCCAGTTTCCAAACTGAAGGTTAACATTCACATTGTATTGAAAGGATACAAACAGGGGGCTTGACAGTCTCTATGGCAGATGATTTTTTAAATTGATTTAAAACAAAACTTAGAGATTTCAAAAGAGATAAAAACAAGATAGTCAGCAGAAATATTATTAGAGAAATAGTTGGAAATTTCCCAGAAATAAGTAAAGGTAATTTGTAGGTGAAAAATACACTATTTCTGAGAAATCAACTGCAAATACCCACCCAAATCAGGAAGCCTGTTTGGGAAATTTCAAGTTTGTAGTAGCAGAAGAAATGATTAGCAACTGTCATGCTGTAGACAAGAATATTTTCCAGGGAATGAGATGTCCTGGAAAGCTTTCATCAACTTGGATCTTGCTTACAGAAATATGTTGGAATTTAGGTTGCTGAGTTACTGCCATAAGAAGGGGACCTGATGCTCACATATGATATCCAGTCTTGGGGAAATGTGCTTGAGCTTGCCAGTGGATTTGGTAGGATTAGACCCCAGAGTCCTCTTCTCCATTTGTAAACTAGAAAAATCCAGTGGGTTGTGCTCAGATTGTCACAGCTCAATAAGCTCAAAGATGAGCCAATTGTCTTGGAAAGATAAACTCCCTGGGAGGCTCATTAGACTCCATTAAAAACCATAGTTTAAACAAATGCCTGGAAACATGAAGAAATTGGAGGGCATTGCTGCTGCCCTGAAACATATCCTAAATGGAAATTGAATTATTGGTATATATATATAGAGAGAGAGAGGTCATAGCCAGCATCGATGAGGGTTGACAGAAAAAGACCAAAAGATTTGTGTTTCTGGCATAGTCATTTTCTCATGAGGACTTTTAAGATTAAGTAGGAATTGACCAATTTGTAACTGCTCAGTTGGATTTGCAGTCAAAATCACTGAAAGACAGCCAAAGATACTCAGGGACAAACTTAACCCATACCTGGCCATAGGTGACCACTACATGCCTGGAATTACATCATGTGCATCATGCTGTTTGATATTGGTGGGAGGAAAGCATTAAAACAGTCTACAGTAAATGTATGCTAAATGTGGCTCTGAAATTTGCTACACAGTGTGACTCTTCCCTGTAAGAAGAGGATACCAGTGCTAGATAGGAGTAAATAAATTAATGAACTTGTACATTTTAAACATCTTTCTTAATCTACTATTCAGGAGAGAGAAACATAATATACTTAGTTTCGGCATTGGCAAGCAAGCAGAAATTAAGGCAACAAAGTCATAAATAAAAATCATATCATAAGATATCATAAGAACAAAGACTGTTGTAAACACAAAGCTGGACAAAAGAAAATGTCATTAATGTTTGGTCCTGCCTATTCAGTCTGAGGAGTTTTCTTTCCAATAAGAAGGCTAGATGAAAATAAAATGTTAAAAGCAAGCAGAACTAGGTAGTGAAGTTTAGTCAACAAGTCCAAGGGAAGATACTGTCATGATTTCATGATTGTTTTTTGCTTTGAAACCTGGTATCTCAGGGGAATGACAGCTGTTGAAATCTTGTAAACCTAACAGAGAAAAAGATTCCTCTTTCTAGATGAATGCTTCCTACAAACAGGAAAAGTAGCCATTGTTGAGGGGATGTAACAGTGGGTCAGATTGCTGCTGTTGTTGGATATATGAGGAAGAGTAGGCTGAAGTTTGCTCTTGCAATTGAGGGGTTTTTTTGGAGGGAGATTTGCTCTTAATTCATTTGTTCTTCATGCGCATGAAGAGCTCTGGTACAATTGTCTAAAAGTCTTTCCAACTGTGCCTATTGTCTTTTTAGGCAAAGACACAAGTAAATGCATCAAAACAACAACATAGCTTGCAAGAAACTGGGAAACCACATCAGTGGTGCAGCAGCATTAGCATTATGGAGTGAGAATGATGATATGACACCTATTCTGTCAGCTTTCCCGTGTCTAACAACTCCTGTTTTAGATAAAAATGACACTGACAGTTCATGGCAGTATCTGTCTGAGAACCTGGGCTAAGCTTCTAAGGGTTGAGCTGAGCTTATATGAAGTTACATGGTACTCATGTACTCAATCTCCAGTTAAGGAGTTGGAAACCATTGAGCATCTTTTGCTCAAGAAGCTAGTATATGTCACAAAACCACCTGCACACCTGCAATGTTAATTCGTCCTATGTTTAGTAAAAGAACATTTCTGAAAATCAGGGGGTTTGTATGCAAGATGCTTGTCTCCGTCACCAATAGCACCTCCTAACCAGAGCAACCAAGATAGTTCTCAGTGCTGGTTGACATCTCAGGTCAAAAA